AATCTTGGGAGAAAAATGTTGTTGATTGTTGAGAATTTATCCGTGGAGTAATGAACACCGATAACTTTTGCTGGAATCCATTACCCTCATCGTCTCATCTTAATGTACGTGTAGATGACCAATCGAGGTCTGCAAATACTTCAGAATTCATGATGAGTATTCGATCTGGATTTGTTTATTATCATCGAGGAAATTTACCTTTTATTCTTGAGGCGTATAATCCTCACAGGTTTGTGAGACAGTTTGGCTTTAGACAGAAACTTCCCGATTCACCAAGAAAGTTTAATATTACCCCCAGTGTAGGCGACATGCATCGGGTTTGGTTGTCCTTAACTCAGATAAAAGTTGGGTCTGTATTTCATATTCTAGAGTATGTGAGGGATATACATCAAAACATTGATGTTGAGTACCAGGCTTGGTGGAATAGCAAAGTGTTACCACTCTTGACAAAGGTCCAGGTGCAAGTCTTATTTTCTAGTGAGAGTCGTGACTTTGTTCTTGGCTTGACTCCGAACAGGGTTTTAGTTAGAGGGTTAAACCCTCCAAATGCTACTCCTGAAGAGGCTTCTCGAAAGAGGGATCTAAACCAGCAAAATGAAAGAGGTATTAAGAGAATCAAAATTATAGTTCCCTCGGTAAAGGTTGCTACCACCTTTGAGCCTGCTGATAAGGTGTCAGAAGCAATTTTGATTCCAGATCCCAGTAATCCTGGAGATCGAGCATCACAAGCACCAGGAAAGACTTTGACTCCAGAAGATGAAAGTTCTAGAGATCAGGTATAGTTCTCCCCCCTTTTTTATGTACTATTTGTAATTGATTTTCTGTCACAATCTTCAATTTTAGGCTTCTCTTTCTTGAGTATACAAAATCAAACGACCAATATAACTGAGGCCGCTTCAAGCTATTCTGAGTCTTTCAAAAGTTGAAGTTGGAGCTTCTCACATTAACATCAGCCTCCCGAACACATCATTAGAAGTTGGATTTTTAGACATGTCGCCCAGGACACGAAATGCAGGTATGTGCCCTGTTGTTGTTTGCTGCACTTTTTCCCTTTTTTTTTTTTTGAAATCATGCTCCATTTTTGTAGGTTTTTTGAGCATCCCTGAAGAACTAAATTTCTCCATGAATCCAAACTTTTTGTAAGATCAGACTGGCGAGAATGACGGGCGAATCGATGCACATCAAGGAATAGATAGTATTCGTGATTCTCATGACCTTCCTTGCAAATATCCGGGCACCATCAATGGAGGTACTTTGGTACATATCATGGACAATTTTAATGCTGAAAATGAAGTAAATTCAGGGACTGTGAGAGCTAACATTTCAGAGATCAATCAAGGAGTTCATGTCATTCCATCTTCGTTGGTTTTAGTCAGTATTCTGCTTTCACAAACAAATAATCATCGGGTTGTACCAATCTGTTCTTTCATGTCTGGTCCTCCGCCTGGAATTATCCAAGAGTCTTCTTATCTGAAGGCTGCTCTGGAAGAAGCCATGACTAATTACCTTCAAAAGATGTCTTGAAGCATGGATTCTCCAATATTTAATCTTGGTGGGATGAAAATAACTTAATTCTTCAAAACGTGATTACCAAATCATTCCATACAGACCCAGCGCCTTTGATGATGAACATGGATGTGTTTTTGAAAAAAGTTGACTCTTACTTATCTGAAAGAAAGCAACACCTGGATTGTCCAACCGTTGAAGAAAAGGCTGAGGAGTTGAAACTTTTGAACATTCAACTGGAAGTAAAGGATTCCACGTGTTCTTCGTTGAGAGGCAAAATTAGTGAGCTAACCTTTGAGCTAGATAAACTCCGTAATGAACTTCAAGCCCAAGAGGAAGAGAAAAGTATGATTGGAACAAAAATGCAGCATTGGAAGAAACACAGATAAGAGATGTCGCTAGCGTAGCATCCATTGACCAGAAAAGGAAGACCCTTGAAGATAGTTTCCTGCGAGTGATCAATGGCGAGTGATCCTGATGAAGTCATGAATTTCTTATCCTTTTTTTTAGACCATATTGTATGAATTTTGACTTGTTATTTTTTTTATTTGGATGAACTTTTCGTTTTCATGTTTATTGTGTTTTTTTTACTACAACAATTGGTAAACAAATTGAAAGAATTTATTAGTTGTGACTAAACTTGAATTTATAGTTTATTCAAGCTGTCTACGTACCCAAACGGGATCAAGTAGAACGTAGTTCATTACAAAAACACAATTTTTTTGTACAATGAAAAAATTTAAAAATAAAGAACTTCAAGCATAAAAATGCTTTAAAAATTTTCCATTGGTAGGTTTGATTTGCAATCCATCTTTGTTGACGATCTTGTACGCTCTGTTAGTGAATGCATGAGTAATAATAAATGGACTATCCCATTTAAGTTGGAACTTGCCCCTATTTTTCTTGTGATTATGATTGGCCTGCGCACGGAAAGTACCAGATCTCCAACTTGAAATGATCTTGGTCATACCTTTTTGTTGAAAGACTTGGTCATTCGAGCTTGATAGCACTCTAGATGCATTTGTGCTTCTAACCTCTTCTCATCCACAACTTCTAGCTCTTCCAATTGAAGGCTGGCATTTTCTTTAGTTGTCAAACCTTCCTAGATGACAATTCGAAGTGACGAAATTTGACACTCCAGAGGAAGTATAGCTTCTACTCCATATACTAAGGCATAAGGAGTGGCTTGTGTTGGAGTCCGATAAGTAGTTCGATAAGCCCATAAGACTTCACCGATTTTCTCATGCCAATCTCTTTTTTATTTGGAGACAACCTTTTTTAGCAAACTGCATAGTATTTTGTTGAATGCCTCTACTAATCCGTTAGCTACCGCATTGTACATGGATGAGTTATACTGTTTGAATCCAAACTTAGCACATAAATTGTTTACGTGGCTATTGCAGAATGATTTTCCATTATCAGTTATGATATGCTGGGGAATACCATATCGATAAATGATTTGGATACGAATGAAATTTACAACATTTTCTTTCTTTACTTCCTTCAATGGTACGGCCTCGGCCCACTTGGAGAAGTAGTCGGTCCCGACGATGATGTATGCATGCCCTATTGAAGACTTTGGAGTTATAGGTCCAATTACATCAAGACCCCATGCATCAAACTGCCATGAAGCTACTATCGGATGTAATGGTTCTGGAGGTTGATGAATGAAAATTGGCATAGCTTGGCAAGCTACACATTTTATTGCATAATCCATGGAGTTTTGTACCATAGTTGGCCAGTAATAGCCCATCTTTTTTATTCGAAATGGAGTTTAGGTCCAGACTAATGGGTACCACAAATTCCAGAGTGGACTTCTTCCACGACCTGTGTTGCTTCGTCATCACTTAGGCATCAAAGGAAAACTCCATCAAATGATCGTCGATAAAGTGTTCCCTTATAAAAGATAAAGCAAGAGGCACACCTCTTGATTTTAGTTTTTCGCCATCGATTATTTGGTAGCTTTTGATGTTGAAGGAAATCGATTATCGGCTGTCTCCAATCTTCTCTTTCCTCATTTTCGAGTACTTCGACGCTATTGTTTTCTTCCAAATTACTGGGTAGCAATGACGGAAGCACCCATCTTTGAGCAATTGATATGGAGTGTGAGAAATCTTCATTTGACCTAGCTAAAATAGTAGCCAAATTAGCTAAGGCATCAACTTTCCTATTTTCACTTCTCGGGATGAATTTAATTTTTACTGAATCAAATCGTTTCATAAGCATTGATGCATATTCATAGTATGGTTTTAGGTCTGAATTTCGGACTTCATACTCAACTAAAAGTTGGTTGATTATCAATTTAGAATCTCCAAAGACTTCCAGCTGGTGGATATCCATATCTAACGCTGCTTCTAAACTAAGGATAAGGGCATGATATTTCGCCACGTTGTTTGAACATTTCTCTGCTAAGGCAAAAGAGCTGGGCATGACAAGATCATGGGGAGTGACTAAGACTACTTCTGCTCCGGCACCATAACTTCGGGCTGTCCTGTCGAAGTATAGCCTCTATGATGGTATGGCTTCATTGAATAGAACTTCTTCATCGGGAAGGTCTTCTTGAAGTTCCCATTCCACTAAAATTGGGTGGTCAGCTAGGAAACCTACCAAAGCTTATCCTTTAATGGCCTTTTGTGGAATGAATTTGATATCAAACTCAGACAATAGTAGTGCCCATTTTCCAATCTTGCCAGAGAGAATTGGCCTAGACAATATGTACTTCAATGGATCAATCTTTGAAACGAGATTGATCGTGTGTGATAGCATATAATGTCTCGACTTTTTAGCTGCAAAGATTAATGCAAGGCACATTTTTTCATTAGGTAAATACTTCATTTCAGTGCCTACTAGTGTTCAGCTTAATTAATAGAATGCATTCTCTTTTCCTTCATCGTTGACTTGGACAAGAAGTGCTCCTAGAGAATATTCTTGTGCTGCAACATAAAGAGTCAGTGGCTTTTCTGGGACTGGAGCTGTAAGTACCGGTGGACATGACAAATATTGCTTAGTGCTTTGGAAATCATTTTGATAAGCATCATCCTACTCAAATGGTACATCTTTCTTCACCAATTTGTTAAATGGATGACATTGTCTAGCCAGGTTAGAGATAAATCTTCGAATGTATGCAAGTTTTCATTGAAGACTTTTCAACTCACGTATGTTTCTTGGTTCTGTCATGTTGATTATGGCATCAATTTTTGATCGATCTATTTCAATGCCTCGATGTCGAACAACGAAGCCGAGAAATTTTCCAGAGGTGATGCCAAGTGCACATTTCAATGGATTCATCTTCAGTTAATGTCTTCGAAGTCTTTTTAAAACATCCTGTAAATCTTGTAAATGATTGTCACGTCTTTTGGTTTTGACAACAAGATCATCTATATAACATTCCACGTTCTTATGCAGCATGTCATTGAAGCCCCCGCATTTTTCAATCCAAAAGGCATAACTTTGTAACAATATATGCCTTTAGGGGTACGAAATGATGTGAGCTCCTAGTCTTTCGGGTTCATTTGTATCTGATTGTATCTGGAGAATCCGTCCATGAAAGATAAGACTTCATATCCGGTAGTTGCATCCACCATCAATTCTGTTATCAGAAGTGGAAAATCATCTTTCGGACATGCTTGATTCAAATCTCGAAAGTCAACACAAATTCTTAATTGCCCGTTCTTCTTTTTAACAGGGACAATATTCGCGATCCATGTTGGATATTTCACTTCACGTATGAATCTAGCTTCAATAAGTTTGTTGACTTCTACTTCAATTTGAGGGATCAGTTCTGGTCGAAATCTTCTTTGAGGTTGTTTGACTAGTCGAACTCCATGTCTTATTGCGAGATGATGTACTGAAACCTTAGGGTTTAACCTCGGCATCTCCTTGTAAGACCACGCAAACACGTCTTTGTATTCCTGAAGCAAACTAATGTACTCGAATTCCTCTTTTTGACTAAGGAGGGTACTTAAAAATACTGGTCTCGGGTCTTCTTCGATTCCCAAGTTCAATTGTTTTAAGTCATTCACAGTAGCTTGCCCACCTTCTTCAAATGTAGGTGGGGCTAGTTTAGGTTCATCAACAGAACTTTTGGATTCAGAGTCTGAATCGGGAGCTTCTTCAAAGGCTACGTGATTGGTAAAAACTTTTTCCTCGTCTTCTTTACCCTTTAGGGATGAGTGAAGTTTTTGATGTCGCCGTCTTCTTCTTGACCGTTGTGGTTTCGAACTCGGATTGGAAGTTTTGATTCCAAGTCGAGAAAATGCAGATCATCTTTGGCATCTGGGGAGCTTGTACATTTCTATCAATCTGGGTAGAAGAAGAAGAATCTTCGTTTAATCTTTGAAAGATGGAAACTTTACCTTTTACATCGACCACTAGAGAGGGTTCTCCTTTTAACCTTGTAAACACCGAAACTCTAGCATTCTCACTTTCAATTCGATCGAACACTGAAGGTCTCGGTTGTTCTAATTTCTCTTCTGTAACTTCATAAATTTGAACCATGATGGGGTTTGAGGAAACCTTCTTGACCTTAATCTTCCTTGGTGGATTAGGATCATATCCCAAACCATACCTAGGTCGAGACATCAGGGTTCCATCAGAATTAGAAGGGACACGCCCACATGAAAGGACAGTGTTAAGATAACCTAATTTACGAGGCTCTCCTTTTCCAAACCCAACATTTTCAAATAACTTTTTGACTTGAGGATTGTAACATCCTTTGAAAGTCTTTTTTGATTCAGGAGCTCCTTCTTGTTTGGGTGAGCTAGAAATATAAAGTTTTGATATGTCTGGAACGGATGTCGAAGCCTCTAATGTAGGTCTATATTCCTCTCGGACCGCCATGAGTTGATGGGGTAGAAGCAATTTTAGAATACTAGGTATTAGAAGAGTTATCTCTTTTTTCAATACCTCAAAATCGGTTGATTCTATTTGAGGTTTTTTGCCTCTAGAGAATCCTTCGAATGTAAATTTTGATTTGCCTTTAATAATTTGATGAGATTGAACAGCACTAGACGTATCATGATCATTTGCATCTTTTTTGATTTTGAATCCAGACATTGTCAACCTTACAGAATTGCACTCTTCATCTTCCATGTAGAATTTGGCGTCAGCAAAATGGGATTCTTCTTCAAGGAATGGTTTAGACTCAGCTACCACACATTTAACTTCTCCATCTCGGCTATATTTGAAGCATTGGTGCCAGGTGGAAGGTACCACTCTAGTTTCATGTAGCCAAACACATCTAAAGAGTAACTCATATGATGTTTTAGCATCAATGACATGGAAGAGAGCTGAGGAGATTAACTCTCCTATTTGTAGCTTCAAGCGAATCATGCCAATGGCTCGCTGACCTTTCTGATTGAATCCTTGAATCATGATTTTGCTTCTGGACAGATCACCAACATTAGTCCCAACCTTCTTCACTGTTTTAACTGGCATAATATTCATAGCAGATCCACAATCAATCATTATGCGATTCATCTTGTATCCTCGAATATAACCGCTGACATACAGTGGCCTATTATATGGACGAGAACCCAATTGTAAATATTCATCATCAAATGTTATGGCGGTCATACAGTCCTGAGGAGTTGCGAATCCAATATGTTTTAGAACTTCACCTTCGTATTCTTCTGGATCGATTAGACCTACAATCAAATCCATTCGATCATCGAAAGGAATACTGAGAGATTCTACTAGACTCGTACTGGCAGGAATATTGTTAAGCCGTGAGATAGTTGTCTTCTGTTTTGAAGTCTGCCTTGATGCATTCTTCATTTCATTTTTCTCCTCTACGCTAATTACATTGGAGGTGAGATATTCCTTATCAAAGAAACCCTTAGGAAAATAATCACCCAGGGTTGGTAGTCTAGGAAGAATGCGCGGAGCTGCTTCTCTCCCGATTGACTTAGTAGGTATTCTTGGCTTGGTTTCAGGCTATTTTCCTCGGTTGTTCTTTGGTCTTGATTTCTTATTACAAACATTAGAACTTGAGAGTTGTGGAGCCTTTCGACGACGTCTTTTCACAAGTGTCCATGCCCCCTGATCTTATTCTAATGTTTCCTCTTTATTGAGTTGAATTTTTGTTCCCAATCCCTCCAACTCTGTTCCTACAAGAGGTGTAGAATGTAATATTTTACCTATTTTATTTGGCATTCGGTATTTCTCTCTCTTCTTTATAAAAGTGGACCAGCCATCACCGATCTCGTCTTCAGATTCTGAGTCAGAATCCCAAACATCCAAGCCACCTGTCATAATTTCATAAAAGGTTGGAAGATTGGGTACATTTGGTCCATCCATCCCTGGATAGACGTAACTGATAATAATTTCTCTGTCTACCTGAAACTTCGCTGGGATGGCTCCTTTCGGAAGTTGAGGTCCAAACTCCTTAACTGAGGATTTACAGGTATCACGTACACTAAAAAATGTTTGTTTCTTCTCTACAATGGGAATTGGATCAAATGATCCAAACGAAACCATCGAGCAGGCAGTTCTTGGATTCTCTCCGATTTCAAGTTTGATCTTATTTTCTTAGTCCAAACGAACAATGAGATCTTTCAAGACGAAGCATTTTTCCACTGGATGGCTAATGATTCTGTGAAATTTACAGTATTTAGGATGATCGATCTTACCAGCTTCCTCGAGTCTTTTTAGTACTAGAAGTTCGATTATCTTCTGTTCAAGGAGCTGATCTAGAATTCCAGAAACTTCAGAATCTGAGAATGGGTACTCCTTTCCTTCAAGTTCTTTTAGAGTCACATGACCTCTACTTTGAACTTGTCTTCTGTTAGGTCTGAATTTCGGCTTTGGTTTTAAGTTCGAGCTTGACCCCTGGAAGGCTATCTTTGCAGGAATAGTAGAAATCGCCATAGCTTCTTTGGACTTACTTGCCTTGGCGTCTTTCCTTATCTCTTTCTTAGGATCTTTCTTGTCACGTGGATCACTTGGTAAGTAACTCCCATGCCTTACAAGTTGGAGCTCCAAGTCATGAGCACGTGTTGCCAATTCTTCGAATGAGTGAGGCATGTTTGCTTGGAGATTATAGAGCAATCCCCAATGCATGCCTTGTACACACACATCGATGGAAGATGCTTCGCTTATTCTTTCTTCGCAATTAAGCACGAGGTTTCTCCAGCGTTCAATGTACTCCACAACGGGCTCTTCCTTGCTTTGTTTTGTTCGAGCAAGTTTTGGAAGGCTGACAATTCGTCGGGTGCTGTAGAAGCGTGTTAGGAACTATCACTCAAGCTAATCCCAACTGTCAATTGACCCTGCTGGTAAGTCTGTGTACCATTCAAATGCAGAACCTTTGAGGGAGCATACAAACTGCTTCACCATAGTGTCATTGTAAGTACCTACATTGTTACAAGTCTCAATAAAGTGGGCAACATGTTGCTTTGGACTGTCTTTTCCATCAAAACACTGAAATTTTGGAGGTTGATAACCGAGTGACATCTTTATTTCGTCGATTCGACGACTGTGGGGCTTGGCATACACCAGTGAAGATTGTAATGAACCACCATACTAGGCATGAATGGTGTCTGCAATCATATGTTGAAGTCATTGGATGGATAGAGAGCCAACAGAGAGTTGAGTGGTGTCACGCAACACGTTTTGAACAACTATCCGATCATGCATATCTTGCTTTTGTTGGTGCTCTTAGACTTCTAACTCTTTCGCCTTGGAAGATCCTGAATTTTCTTGATCTTCTTTAGTTGATGGATTTTGTGACTCTAGCCTGTGTGTGAGTGCAACAATCTGTGCATCTTTGTCTTCCAATGACTATGTTAATTTTTCAATAGTTAAAGCCATTTGTTGAATTCGATCATTTGAGCCCGATGCAGCTTCTGTGACCATCACTGGCTCAAGTGATTCTTCAGATGAGACATCATCTTCCCACTTTTGCTGAAAAGTGGCATGAGGAGATCTAGACAAGGATCTACCACCAGATATGGAGCCCGAACGAGAACTTTTCGTTGAACTCATGGTTTTTTCTGTTGAATGAGAGTTTGGCTTTTTTAAGGCAATTTTCAGTTGCCTTTGTTGGAGAACTTCTTCAGTGGTGTGACCAGTTGAGTTTTCCCAATTTTTTTTTGGGCCTTGGTCATATGGAAGAGTTCCGCAAGTGTCTCTTCAAGATGAGTCATAGTTTGTTTCGCCTTTTCACCTGCCATTGCTGATGTAGTAGTTGAAATTTGAAGATTTTGAGATCAAAAGATGAGAGAACAAGAAGGTCCCACCGGGCATGCCAAGAAATTTGTACGACGAAATCTTGTGTATTAAAATACAAAAATCGTTACAAATTGTATTTTGATAAATACAAGTGATGTTGACCTTCTTATAATTGCAAAATCGTAAAATCCTCTGATTAATGATCTCTATATTTGAAGACGAGGGGTTACGTAGCTTGAATCCTAGTCTTCAAGAATTTGTTAAAAATTCGATTTATCGAGACTTGACTTGTTCAGAACTTGAACTTCGGGGCTTAGATTTGGACTTGAATTTAATTTGATTTGAAGAAGACTTTGATCTCCTAGGACTTGACGTGAACCTGTTTGATTCGAAGAAGATTTTTATCTTCTTGGAGTTCACTGGATTTGGATTTGAGAAGAATTCTTCTTTTCTTCTAGTCTTGGAATTTTTTCAGCATTTCGTGGCGTTTTCTACTTTTTTCTTGCTTGCTTTATGTGTGTCCCGTCTTATGGACCATTGGTCTTATTTATAGAGGAGGATTTGGGCTAATTTTGGTAATTACTCAATTATATTTAATTAAAAAAGATAATTGAGTAATTATGGTTTTATTTATTTTGTTTGTTTATTTATTTAAAATTTGGTACGGGCCTTTGGGTTTTATGGACTTTAGTAAATTTAAATTTAATTGGGCTAATGATTTAAATCGACCAAATCCATTTTATTTTATTTACTTATTTATTTATTTTTTATGTCTACAAACCATTCCAAGAACCCATAGAGAATGGTCCACAAATATCCGTATGTCTAAGTTCTATGACGTCCGAAGTCTTATTGGCTTGAAATCTCCTTTTATTGGTTTGTTTTCCCTTTATACAGTTGACACATAGATCATAATATGTGAAATCAAGAGGGTCTAGAATCTCGTCAGACACAAGTCTCTCAATTCTCCTTTTGGAGATGTGACATAATCTCTTGTGCCACAACGAGGCAGAATTCTAGCCGGTTAATTTTCGCTTTACACCTCGAGTACTTACATGCTGGGATTCATTAAAAGAAGCAATTGTATCAATTGAATAAAGATTATCGTAACCTGATAAAGAATCGAAACCAACCAATTTTGAATCATGAAACAAACTAAATTTTCCATTTCTAAATGAACAAGTATAACCAAATTTGTCCAAAATAGAAATAGAAATCAAATTCCGTCTAAAAGATGGTATAATAAATATCTCAACAAGATTTAAATAAAATCCAGTCTTTAACAATAATCTAAATTTTCCTATTGCCTCTACTTCCACCTTCTTGCCGTCACCACCATAGATGTATCTTTCACCATCACTTGGTTTTCGGCAACTCAGGCAACCATGTATAGACATGCTGATATGAGTTGTTACATTAGAATCTATCCACCGTGTATGTCTAGGTACCGAAGTTAAATTAACCTCAAAACAAACCAAATGAAGAAAAATACATTTCTTTACAAACCATGCGTGGTAATTGGTGCAATTTTTCTTCTTATGACCTACAGCTACACAGAAGAAACAACTACTTTCAGTTGATTCCTTATGCTATTTCTTTTGTGGTGCCCGCGTCTTCCTTATTAATCTTCCCTTTCTTGTTCCTTTTGTCCTTAGAAGTGGTGGCGAAATGAGCACTTTCTCTCTTCTCATACCTCAGTCTTTCCTCTTCCTGAACACAGTGTGAGATGAGCTCATTAAGGGACCATGAGTCCTTTTGATAGTTGTAGCTCACCTTGAATTGACTGAAATGTGCCGGAAGGGATATCAAAACCAAGTGCACTAACAAGTCTTCAGATAAATCCAACTTGAGTGCCTTTAGTTTTGAAGCAATGTGAGACATTTCCATAATGTACTCCCAAATGTTTCCTTTCCCTTTATACCTCATTGAGATAAGGTTCGCCAAAAGTGTACCTGTTTCAGCCTTTTCATTCTTGACAAACCTCTTCTCAAGTTTCTCAAGGAAACCCTTAGCCGTAGTTACCTTATCGGACATAGTGCCCTGGAATGCTTCTAGAATAGCACGCTTCATGACAATTAAGCTTATGCGGTTCGATCGTTCTCACTTTTCCATCTCCCTCTTGTCATCAGATGTACTCTTATCAGTAAGTGTAGTTGGTTGATAGACTCGTAAAGTAAGGTCCAGGTCCATAACTCCGACAACAATCATCACGTTCTCTTGCCATGCCCTGAAGTTTGTGTCATTTAGCATTGAAATTGAATTGATACTAGCAGAGATATTAGTAGAAGAACTTGAAATTGAATTAGAGAACGTTTATTATGAATACCTCACATGAATATCTTTTGTTGACATCCAAACTCTGATCTGGCAAAAACAGTTCGCTAACCCCACCTCAGTTAAAAGTGAGTTCGGCCCACACTCTCAGGTTGGAGTTACCCGCCATTATCTTAGAAAAACACCATGATTACAACTGGTCACATCACCCTATCAATCAGAGACACTTGCCATTGGTGATGTCATCGCCACCCGGGATAGCCAATTCCAAGTCCTCGAATTCCAGCCCCTTCAGGTCATCATTACTTTGGCAATACATTGGCACATGACCA